TATGACAATCAGTTTCTCTTGAGTCTAGCAACCTAAAATGTCCCTAATACCCTACTGAGATAAAATAAAAGTAGATTGTGATTTGTGGATTTCTAATCCACAAAGGGAAAGTCATACAAAATATTTGTCCCACCAGTATTTTCACAGAAAATTTTAAAATCTACACAAAAATTTGGGGAAAGATAATTTTTTTCAAATATTTTTAAGTACATGAGCAGACTTCTATTAAATGTATGCTGAATGAATTAAAACAATTTCTGTATTAGATGCTTAGAATCAAAGCTATTGGCATAGCCTTAAGAAAATATATATTAACACTAGAGTGTGGGTATCCTGAACATTTGTAACCAGAAATGCCAGAAAACAAGGGTAAGTGTAGCAGCCTAAAAGGATTAAGCCACTTTCAGAGATGTGAGCATCATTTCCCACCACCTGACCCCATTAGACAAATGACATCTGCAAAGGCAACAAACCCAGGGAAACAATGTCTGGAACTCAGAAAGAGGGCAAATATAGGAATAGTACCATGGCCTTAAACTCAACATGAAGAACTCCAAATAAGCTTTTGCAGTTGATCACCTCTTGGTACTGTCACCAGGAGAGGGACTGCATTAGTGGCGGTGTGGGTGTTGGGAGAAGCAGTCCTAGGGTGAACAACAATCCAGGGCTGCCCACCAAAGAGGGGTTTCCCAGGACCGGCCACTCACAGCATGAAGATGGAAAGTCCCAGTAGGTCAGCCTCATGACCTGCTGGGGCTGAACACAGCAAGAGGAAGGCTATAAACACAAATCGGTCTTAAGAACAGGACAACCCAACTGGCCCATACAGTAAGGACCCACATTTATTTGAACAACTCTCAACAGTGAAGTAAACTACCAACAGTGAAACACCCACATGGAAATTAAGGCTGCTCCTCCCAAAAGCAAAGTATGTATGTTGATAGTTAGAAAGACTGCCAAGAAAAAATGCAGAAGAATACGTGACCTTGCTTCTCAAAAAACAAAAATAATTCCTTTAAAATATGCATATGTAACATCTGCCTGGTAAGCACAAGGTTCTGAGTGTGATCCCCAGTACCAAAAACAGACAAAAAATTTTTCTATGTATGTTGCTTATATATACATTGGTAAAAACTGATGCACAATAACATCACCTAGTCTTATGTGATTGTGTAGTATTTTGCAATTTTTTTAAACTTGTGCTTGTGTGACAAAAATTGTATGTTTTCCTCTGAGCATGTTTTAGCATATAACCCTAGATAATAGAGCAACTGTAAACATTAGATCATGTGATATATTTAGAAAGCAACCAATTTTAACATAATAACTGGCTCTTAGCTATCCCTTTCAAGGACTCAACCTTTAGTAAACTAGGTTTCCAAGATGAAAAATCTGTTTCAAAGAGGCTGAGAATATATTTCAAGGTTTTTTTCTGTTCATATTCCTTCACTCCCATCTATTGGTATTATTTGCTTGTCATTTCCTACCCTGTGTCTAATTTTAAAAATTGACATGCCACGAAATAATCTGGGCCGGGGCTAGGGCTTTGGCTCAGTGGTAGAATGCTTGCCTAGCAAGCTGGAAACCCTGGGTTCAGTCCTCAGCACCTAAGACAAAAAAAACTCCCTAAAAGACAATTCAACCAAAAAATATAGTAAGATTAAAAAACAAGGCAACTGCAATACAAACTAAATAAATAAATAAATAAATAAATAAATAAATAAATAAAATGAGCCACAATCAGTTTTCCATGTTCAAGAGCAGTCTCCACGCTCTTAGGCTTAGATGATGTCAGGTAAAGCAGTTTCCTGTTATCTTTTTTGTCTCCTCTGTCTCCCCACCTTGCTCCAGGAGTCTGTAGGTGCAGGCAGGGGAGATAAATGGTACAGAGGAAAAGGGCAATGCTTCTTGTATATATTCCAAAGACTACTTAAGACAAATCAAAGATAAGTACTGTCCTGTCACTCTTACTGCTACACAAAGCATACTTAAGGGTCCACGATTAGGAAACCTAGAACTGAACAGAGAATTGGTTAAGTGTTGCATAGAATGATCAGAGGCCAAAGAAAGAGAGGTGTGATGTGAGAGACGAGGAGCAGCAGGAGGCAAGTTGCCACCCCACCTTGGTGGCAGGCACCATGGACATGCACAGAATCATCAAAGCTCAATTTCTGGATTACAGGATGGTATCCACTCAGGAAGAAGAGTAGGACAATTTACAATCATTCAGCCACAATTCTCATCCTGTGTACAACATTGTCCTGAGTATTTGGGGGAACAGATCCTGGTCACAAGTGCCTATTGCTGGGCTGGTGAGATTGCTCAGTGGTCTAAAGCACCTACTTAGAACAAGCTTAGCAAAGCACAGGGACCGCGGTTCAATCCCCCAGCACCACATGCCAGCCAGCCCCGCCCCCTGGTGGGCTGAGCTGGCTACACACACACACACACACACACACACACACACACACACACACTAAATAAATTTAAAAAAAAAACAAGTGCCTATTGCTGATGAAAACCACGTCATGAAGGGTTAACATGTCCAGTAATCAAACTACATGTTTATATTTTTTTAACTATTTAGCAAATCCCATTTTTAAAAGATAGTCTTAAACATCTTCATTTGTAAAAGAAAATAAATGGAACTGATGTTCAGTAAAGCCTCACATAACAAAATTAACTTAGAAAGTCACACAGCTTCTTACCCTATTGCTGTCTTATGCTCTCACATAAAATTCAGAAACTCAGATCATTTTTTTCTAGAACTGGAAACCTTTTTCTTTCAAAATTAAATCTCTGACAGGTGGCACAAGATCAAAATTGTCAGCAAAGGAAAAAACACAAGGACACAGAAGACCGAATCCCTGACAGACAGCAATGTCTCCCCTCATTTCCTATCACAGCCTGTCTTCAGCTAAGAGATAGCTATTCTAAACTGTTTCCCTCTTTTTTGTGATGGTTAATTTTATGTATCAACTTGAGCAGACTACATACAATGCCCACTTGTGTGACTGAACACCAATCTAGACACTGCTGGGAGGGTATTTTTTAAACATGATTAACGTTTGAATCAACTGACTTTGAGCAAAGCAAATTATTCTCCATCATATGCACAGCCCTCATCCATTCCACTGAAAGTCGCAGGCGCATGCGCAGAGGTCTCTTCCAAACGAAGGAATTTTTCTTAAGACTGCAAAACAAAAAGAAACCCTGCTGGAGTACAAGCCTGATGCTCTTCAAAATCCCCACTTTAGGCTGCAACACCACTCCTACCTGATTTTCCACCCTGCCAGCCTGCCTTACAAACTCCAGACTTGCCAGCCTCCACAGTCACATGAGCCAGTTCCTGAAAAGCCAGAGTTCCAGCCTCTCTCCCTCTCCTCTCCCCTCCCCACCCTGAAAACCCTGGTAATATACTCCCTCTCTCCACCTACAAAAATCCTATAGTCCTCGTCTTCTCTGTCTCTCTCTGTCTCTCTCTCACTCTCTCTTTCTTTAGTGGAACCACCAGAAAACACATCGTTTTAAAAAGCTCATGCTAGGAAAAAAAACTTACATACAAAGTAGCATTTTATTATCAGATTAAGTGCCAAGAGACTCTATCTTATTCACTACCTTTTAATCTATGACACAGGAATTCCTGAGAGAGAAAAATAGGAAGAAGAAGTCAGCAAAACAACACTGTCCAAAAGAAAATGCAATAATAATATCACAGAAGCATATTTGAAACATGATTTCTTAAAGTAGTATTAAATTATTAATATTTTAAGCTTACTTTAAAAAAGGGAAGGAAGGAAGTTACAGAAAAAGACATCTCCAGATTGCAGAGAGGGCTTCCAAGGCGTGGAATCCTAGAACAATCCCCTGGCCACTCTTCTTCCCAACCCCTGGACTGGGTACTTCCCCAGGCTTTCCTCTGTACATTTTTATTTTTTGAAGCCTCCAAGCCTCCTGTGGATTCTAGTAACTCCTAAACTCAGTTCTAGCCTGGTGCCCTGGAGCTGACTCCCTGCTTCTCAGCCTGCCTGGCAGACAGGACAATGGCCTGCTGCCTTCCCCATACTCAGATCCCTAATGGGTCCTGAGGAGGGAAAGCTGGTTCCCCCAAGCCGTAGCCTCCTCACCAGTTCTGTCCATCACTCACTCTGCTCTTCAGTCTTGATTGAACTTTCTTACTTCCTGGCCATACAATGGAGCAGTCTTTAAGTTCTTTTTTTTTTTTTTTTTTTTTGTGGAACTGGGGATTGAACTCAGGCCCTTGCACTTGCCAGGAAAGCACTTATTCCACTGAGCCATCTCCCCAGCCCCTTTAAGTTCTATTCATTCTCTGCTTGTACCATTTCTCTCAAGAGCTGTTCCTGCTCTGGCCCAGAGCTGCTGGAGGCAGACTGATGCTGAGGGTTTGAATACCCTCCTGCACCCAGCCTCTGTCTCCATCCAACTCCTACATACAAGGCTTCCTAAGACATTTCTTGTTTCTGGGTCTGTCCACAATTCAAAATTCTACCTGAGTCAGTTTTTTACTTTCTTTTCTGAATCGACTCAAATATTCAATTATCAAGTAATGCTAGCACCTTCATGAGTTTAAAACTAATTTAAAAAGGGAAAGTTTTTCTTAATTTCACTAGCTCTGATCTGGCATGCATATTTCACAATTTCTCTTCTAAACCTTCCCAAAACTTAAAATTTTAATACAAGCTGAATTCAGTTCACAATTCTGGTCTCTTTAAAGAGTTGAAGCTGGTTACACATTTAGGAGTTTCAAATCTTAACCTTGGATAAGGAAGTCTTTTTGAAGAGACCAATGTTTACTGAGAGTGGGCATTATTGAAAACACTGGAGGCACAACAGGGAACAAAACCAAACAAGTTCTTGACTCCCAGGAGCTTTCAGACTGTGAAGCATAAAGAAAAATGTAATAAATAACTATCTCACAATCAAGGGTTGTATGAAGAAAAACAAATTATTATTAAGAGGTAGTGTCATCAAGGAGGAGCATGGCAAATGCCTTCAGGGAAATGCCTCAGCACAGCCCTAAATGTAAGAAGGGGTGCATACCAGGTCTCTGGAGGAAGAGCTGTCAGTCTGTGTTCTCAGCCAAAGGACAGAAAGTCAACTCAAAGCAGGTTGAGTGCCAAAGCAAGAAAGTCAAACTGGGCAGCGCCATTGGACTGTGAGTGCACACATGCCTTCCTCCTGCTCCTGGGTGGGAACAGAGTGCCAAGGACTGATAGTAAACAATGGGAAGCCAGCATGAAGGCAAGACATCTGGTAGACACTGGAGGACACTGGTGCCAACAAGACTTGCTGCCAGGTGGAACTAAGAGTCAGGATGACCTCGAAGATCTAGTCCTAAGTAACAGAGACAAAAAAACAGTCATCTCCAGAGATAAAGAAGGGACATGAAGATATAAGCTTAAAAGAGTTTAGTTTTGAACAAGTTTGAGACACTTAGATTTCAAAGAAAATACTCAACAGCAGTCTGATTTGCAAACCCTGAGTTGCTGGAATGGTGAACCCTGCAGTTCCATCTGCAAGCTATCAGCCAGCTGGCAGATAAAAGCCATGAGACTGAATGAGCAGGTAAGAAAGGGGCAGAAAGCCAGGCCCTGTGGCCTTGCACATCTGGAGAGCGAGATGAGGAAAGCCACTGAAGGAGCCAGATGGCGACAGAAAACGAGCCCAGAAGAAGAGAGCTCCCCTTTGCCTAGTGCTGCTAACTGGAAGCCAAGCTTAGTACTGCCCACTATAGAAGTGAATGGTCACTTAGATCAGGAGAGTGCTGTCAGGAAACCACAAAAACTAAAATGAATGGACTCATTTTTATGAAGTTATCATCCCTGAATATATATATATATATATATATATATATATGTTATATATACTACAAATGTCCCCCAAAGTCTCCTCTACTCCCAGGTATGGCTTTTTACAGTGGCTGGGTCTAGGGTATGTGAATATGCATTAAGTGTGTGTAATAACTAAATTAGTCCACTGATCGATTTAGCACAGTTCTGGGTGTGGATAATAGAAAGGGCTCACACTAGATAAGAGTGCCACCAATCAGCCCAGGAGATAGCACCTGCCTGTCAAGCACAAGTTCCTGGCAAGGTTCTGAGTTTGATCCCTGGTACCAAAGGGGGACAGAGAGAGAGAGAGAGAGAGAGAGAGAGAGAGAGAGAGAGAGAGAGAGAGAGAGAGAGAGAGACCCCAATAGGCTTGTTGCCTGCTGACTGGAATGAAAAGTGAAAGGCGACCCATCTGGCCTTCCATGAACTGTTTCTTCTCCCAGGGCCCTGTGCCAAGCTCCATGTTTCAGAGCCAGCCACTGACACCTTTACAAACTGCGACCTTAAATACATGTTTCCACCTTTAACTTGTGGCTGTCAGGTACTGTACACCAGCATAAGAGAAGTAACGAAGACAGATGTTAAGATTTCTATTTTATGCACGCAGCTATCTTCTTTTCAACATTACACTTCCACCGTAGAAAATATCAGATTATAGTAATTCTCCGATCTATTAATGAATTCCATTCTGGGAGAACATTCATTCTTAAATTCAACAAACTTTATTATACACGTTTTATACACATTTGACACAGTGCCCTCCACATCACCACTGCCTTTCCTCTTGCCTCCAGATATCCTGGGCTCTGACTGAGCACTGTACACTACCACAAGGTACAATAACTGTGACAACTGTGAATGTGGGGCAGACCCGTGAGCTACAGCCAGTTTGTTCACATCTACAAGTGTCCCTAATTTGAGGTCTGTTAATCTCTGTGAAAGTTTGTCTCTGGTGTGTTAAGCTGGAGTCATACTGTATTAATCTTAATGATAAAATAAAATTTTTAAATAGATCTTGCATTGCTTCTTGGCCTTTTGGCTAAGATCAAGTGTAGTATCTTTTCTTACCAGTTTAATAGATCTTGCTAAATATAGTTCATAAAAAGGTGCTGAGTTAATATTTTTAAGTAATAAGAAACAATACTTTAACGAATAGACTTTTTTTTTTTTTGTGGAACCGGGGATTGAACTGAGGCCCTTGCACTTGCCAGGGAAGCACTTATTCCACTGAGCCATCTCCCTAGCCCAAATAGACTTCTAGTAGACTAAAAAAAGAAAAAAATATGTGGAATACACAACCTTTTGAAAGAAGATGAATATTCCTTTTAGACAGGAATCACTTCTCTAATCTTTCATAGCTTGTCTAAAATACTACAGTTGAAACCATTAATCCTGTAAAAAAGAATTTTTAACATAAAAGGTTAAGAGAAAAACTGTAATGCACTTTCATGGTTTCCCTCCCTGGTGCTGGACACTAAGGCCCAGTGGGGACAGTTAAAGCACAGGAGTCATTCCAGAAATGCCCTGGATTAAGGACTGGGGATACGTCCAATGGCCCCGCAGGGTCCTCCTAGACAAGCAGTCTTATTCTGACATGGGCTACAGCACAGCTAATCTAGAGGCCTGGGCTCTCAGAAGGTGACAGCACTGCTGGCAGTAACCCAAACTGCCCTGAAAAGGGACAATTCGGTGGCAGGAGAGAATGACATGCAACTAGCCTCTTTCACTTCTCTACCTCTGTCCTCTCAGGCAAGAACATAGCCTCTAGGTAACTTCTCACTGGTTCAGAAACTACACAGTTGCTTACAGGCACACAGGAAGTTCAATAGGAGTCTTTGGTGACAACGCAGGAATATGGACATTTTATTGTTTTACATGCATTTTTATACAAACACATGCAATTTTAACTATTTGTTAAAGGTTTCATAAAATATAATATGATGCTTTTAAAAAAATACATCTGGGGCTGGGGAGATGGCTCAGTGAAATAAGTGCTTCACTGTCAAGTACAAGGACCTGAGTTCAATCCCCAGTTCCACCAAAATAAATAAATAAATAAATAAAAATTAAAAAATGCATCTACTATTTTTGACATTGTTTATTCATTTATAACATTCATTTAGTACATTCCTTCAAATGTACTGTTCAACACTCAGGTCATATGATTAGTTCTCAGAAAGCAAATGGAAATTGAGTAACAATAATGCCGTTCGGGCTGAAATGTCCAAACACTGCACACCAACAAAGAACCCACTACGGAAGGTGTGCCAAGCACCAGCACACAGGGACCAAGCCTGGTGGGCACCCTGCAGCCTCCACACCCCTTCTCTGACAGACCACAACAGCCCACGACAGTCCAGGATCACCTGGGCAGTCTCAGTTCACAACTGAAGTAGTCTTCACATCAGTAATACAGCCAGAGATCTGCTGACACAGGAGGTACTAGTGACATGTCCTTAAATATCTGGTGCCTAGAATTCCATGACAGGAAATGGGCAGAGCTAAACTCTGAATGAGAAGTGATCTGAATGAAGAGGCTTTCACACCAGCCAGCACACAATCTGCATTGCTGAAGCCATTTACTAACAAGCCGTTGACTAGTCTAGTATTTGAAAGGGGATTTAAATTTACACTTAGTTCTGAAACCTCCTTTAGCAGGAGCATCAACAAATGCCAAGGTACATCAGCATGACAAATGCATGGCTGTAAATTGTAAAACCTTAAACCATCAAAATGCAAGAGACTACAGTGAAGTCATCAGTATAGAAAAGCATGAGAAATTATGAGACAGACGAATACCAACTGAAGGCTCAGCTTGCCTGCTTTGGGAAGGGGTGTTGGTCATGCCACAAAATCTTGCTGATGAATATTTTCCTTAAATGTTCAGTGAAGATAATAGTCGCAATCGCACATACAGAGATGCACTGAGGCTTAAATAAAATAATACTGGCAAAGGGCACAGTGCCTAAAAAGTAAGCATGGCCTAGCACCCATTATTTCTAGCAAGAAAAAGTAAACTGGCATTAATATTGCTTTGCTCTGAATTGGAAAACAGAGTAGCACATACAATTTTTTAAATAAATAAACAAAAAGACTTCCACCCCAAATGGCTAATTTTTTAAAGTAGTGCTTCAAATGAAATTCACTAATCCGCTAAGCTCACCTACACTTCCAGAACTATAGACGAGAGATATGACTATTGCATTCTGCTGACAGAAAAAAAAATGTGAAGTTCTAAATATTCAAAGTGCTAAGTAAAAAACTTCAGATATCAAAAAGGCCCTTTAATTATGTTAAAGGCCAGCAGATCTACAACCTTTAAAAGCCCAGACTTTTGTTACAGTTGTCAGAATCCTTAATATCGCAATTTTATGGGATTTTTTTAAATGGCGTGATAAATGGCATTACAATATTGCAGTATGTTTGATGTGCAAGTGGGTAGATGATGTAGGAGGACGTGATGACTACGAGTTGAAAAAGAACTTCTGGAGAGTTCCTAAGAGTTGGAAATGTTAAGCTGTATGGTGTGATGAAGCAAGGCGTAGCTCAAGCTTAGTAACAGTGTCCTCAAAGTCATGGGACCAAATTAGCTAAAGTTCAGAGAAAACTAAATTACAAACATAGCAGGTATTTTCTGTTCATTTTATTTATTTATTTTTTTCTGTCATTTTAGATGCCAACATGAAAACAAAAGAATTCTAGAAACCTGTGCAACACCATGGGGTACCACTCCAAGAGCACATCTCCAAGCTCAGTTTGTCTCACAATTTCCCCCAACCAGAAGGGTTTTTTGTTGTTGTTGTTGTTATTTGTTTGTTTGTTTGTTTGTTTGTTTGTTTTTGGGCAGAACTGGGGATTGAACTCAGACCCTTGCACTTGCCAGGCCAGCGCTTATTCTACTGAGCCATCTCCCCGGTCTCCCAGTCAGAAGTTTTAGTCATCATCCTACTGCACATAAGCAACTAGAAAACAAGTTACCTTAGTGGTAGAGCCTTTTTTGTTTTCTGAATTAGATACAAACTAATTTATAGACTCCAAGTAAGCATGAAGGAATAGTTAAAATCGCTTTTTATTACTCTAGTTTGAGCAACAGGGTTTTTAATTAATTAAGGCATACTAGAGAATTTTAATCTGCTCAGGAGTAGCAACTGCTTTCAGTTAAAAACTAACATGGATAAACTGATACATTAAATCATTATTACTGTACTGGTTTCATTTTGGATTCAATTAAACACCACTGTCTATAAAAAAAAAAAAAAATCTCATCCACAGCAAGGAAACATTCATCATTTGAAACACTTCAAACTCCAGGAAAGGTTTCCAATTTCAGTAAAAATCAGAGAACCCAACCCGGCTATTCCAGCATGGCTCTGGATGTGCTGGAGTGAAGTTTGGTGGTAGAGCACTTGCTTAGCATGGGAGAAGCCAATGGTTCCAGACCATGCTTAACAGAAACAAAAACAAAAATGTTGCTATCTGGAAATGAGTTTTAGTAATTTCATATAACTTAAAACACAAGTGAAGTATCATTCATCTGGAAATCCAAAATGCTCTAAAATCCTAAACTTCTGACCACCAATATGACAGCAGAGTGAAAACTTCCACACCTGACCTCAGGTGACAGGCTCAGTACATGGGTGAATTTACCTGCAAGGTATATGTGTATATATACCTTGTGTTCTCCTATGAAATATGTGCTTAAACTTAAGACGTTCCCCGAGATATCACATCATGTATATATGAATATTTCAAAATCAAAACAACGTTCCCAATCCAAAATACATCTGAGGGGCTGAGGAGATAGTTCCACGGTCCAAGTGTCTACCTAGCAAGCACAAGGACCCAGTACCGCATGCAGAGCAAGCCCCTGTACCCCAGGCATGCCCCGACGGCCACTGAACCTGGGTGTGATGGTGTATGCCTGTAATCCCAGTGCTGAGGAGGCAGAGACAGTAAGATCACTATGAGTCTGAGCTGCTTAGTGAGACCCTATACCAAGTAAATAAATTAATTAAAAGGACCGGAACATAGCTGCTTAGCGAGACCCTATACCAAATAAATTAATTAATTAAAAGGACTGGAACATAGCCATGTATGGTGGTGCATGCCTGCCACCTGTGATCCCAGCACTCAAGAGGGTTGCCACGTGTGAGACCAGCCTGAACAACATAGCAAAAAAAGTCTCAAAAAAAAAAAAAAATACATCTGAGTCCCCACCTGTACAGAGACTTGAAAGGAGCCATACAAACTTGGCTCTGGGCTACAGATGTGATCTCTCCCAGACTCACTCACATCAGAGACTTAGAGCAGCTGGATTCTGACCACCAGGACCTGCGGAGGTAGGACCAGAGCCTGGCCAGGGGGGTTTGCACTGTGAGTCCCAGAGATGCACATGCTAGACAAAAGAGAGAAGATGCAGGAACCTCAAAGGCACTGTGGGGCTGCCCAGAAAAAGATCAAAGGTGGAGGGCTTTCCACCTTACTCAGAGCCTCCTGGGCAGAAACAGAAATAAGTAAGGAAAATCTTGGTGAGGGGAACAGAAAGGGCAGCTCCTCTAGAGTTCGCTGGGAGAAGTACTGCCCCACTTGAACTTGAGCTCTGACTCCGCTGCAAATGAGCCAGGGCAAGGACTCTTAACAAGCTGCATGTCAGGAGTCAAAACACCCGGAACTGTTTTCCTTTGCGGTGTGAGGACACCTAACTCTCTTGCTGACAGAAAAGGACTACTTTCAACTCAACTATTTGGCACCACATTTGGATCTCTGTCCATGTCAATTCTAAGGCAATAAAGTAATCTTATTTAATTTCATGTGCTGCTAAAATTATCAGTTTAGTCTATGAGTCGAATCCTAATCTTTAAATAATAGGATTATGGCAACTGCAAATGAAATCTGATTTTAAATGGTTTCAGTAAGAATTGTTACCTATATAATTTGCAGGATAAACTTATTCTTTAGAAAAATGACAGAAGTTGCTATGTCCAAATAAATGTACATCATCCTTAACATATACCTAGGGGTTGGGGTGAAGTCATAGAAATATTGATCACCTTAGTATTTTCACCACTTTTATTTTGTTCTTTTTTTTCTTTTTGAGGAACCGGGGATTGAACTCACACCTTAGTATTTTCTAAGTGAGACAATTTGAACAAAATGCAAATTGTGATCCATTATTTACTTCCAAAGCTGAAATGTTGCATTTATCCACATCACTGA